AATTATCACAGGTAAAACTAATACTACGGCCCTTGAAAAGATATTTCCTTAATTTTTGCAGTGGTCATGACAGAGTAGCTCGACGTTATGTGCTGCAGGAGTTTGTTACTGTCTATTAGTAGTTAATGATCATCAGCACAGGGTGAAAAAGGTACACAGACATTTTTAAAACCTTTCTCTGACTCATGATTTTTAAAGCATTAGCAAATCAGAGAACTGATACTCTGTAACTTCAATGGAATTACAGGTTAGTGATTGATATAATCTTTCTATTATTCATTTGGTTAACATAGTAAACACTTTATATTAGATATGAAAACATTTTGAAGTTAGAATTTTAAGAAACAAATTATGGCAACATTTCTTTAAAAACATTTATTGTAAATAAATTATCATACAGATACTGTGAGGTGGCAGTGACCTTACACACTAAAATAATAAAGAGTATCAAAGACACAAACATTAGTCATCTGTAAAACTCTAACCACATTCGCTTTTCATTGCATAGCCAAGAAGCATTAAGTGAACCATAAAGTATGTGAAAAAACTTGGCTGATAGGACAATTGTTTCATCCATCAACTAGTATAACTTCAATTCACACTAGTATTACTCTGTTCTAGAAAAGTTCCGGCAGCCTTCTGAATATCAGCATTTTTTATTGAATTTTAAAAATTCTAGTGAGTTAGAACATGTAGAAATGTTGATAGTTCTAGGTTTTATTTCTTTTTTCTTTGCCTGTCTTAGGTAAAACCTAAATTATTCTCATTTTGATTTTCCTTAGGAGTTGAGTTGCTTTGAGTCAGACCTTATTCAAGATATTTAAAGCAAATACCCATGCTCACAAAACAGTATCAGGACGTCCCATGTGCTGAACATGAATAGTGATCATGTTGTTGTAGCCAATCTGCTCAGATATTTCTACTGCCCCCAACCAAAATGCTGTCCTTGACTTAGGAAAATATTACACATAATTTACTGCCTAAAATTGTATCAACCCTTAGATTTTAGTCAGTGGCAGAAGTCCTGCTGGTGTCACTGTGAAAAAGCAGATTATTTTTGCTTGTTATTGTTATTGTTGAAAGTTGCTTTAGATACCTCATATTATTTGCTTTTAAACCAGAAGTGTATCTGGCCTGTGCTGCTTGAGACAAAACATATTTCTTGGAGATTACTCTTACAGAAGGCAGGGATTGACAAGCTTACATTTTTGAGTATACCAAGATATCACTGGACACAAATATTCCTTTAAATCTTTCAAGATGATTTACCTTTGGTAATGTGTGAAAGAGTATAGCCTTACAGATCCTGTTTATTGGAAATGGCCTTCACAGGAAAAGTGTAAAAAAATCCTCTTTTCCCTCTTCTTCTTTGCTGTCACATAGGGTGTAGCTGAATTTCCATAATAGCACCAACAAAGCTGCAGTGATATCTGACAGTAGAGCTGTGGTGCTCCCTACTTTCAGTCCAACCCTTGTTTTAAATGTAACACTGCTCTTCTATTTCCATCTCTGTCTGCTTGGGCGAAGCAGGTTAGGAGTTGTGAGGAACGTGTCCTCACTGCCCAGGTGCAAGGACAGCATGATGCCCAAGGCCCAGAAGACCCAAGCAAGCCCTGGTTCAGTGGACCCAGTTATGGAGCAGCCACTGCTCTGTCTTGGCACAAAAAGAGTTCAGAGCTTCCCTACTTTCTGCTTTCACACCAGCCAGCTTCAGGTTTGCTAATGAGGAAATTCCTTGCCTTGGGAAGTGATTGAAATAATATTTGCAAATATTACTGCCAGTGTAGTTTTTCAAAGTACTTTTAAGAAAAAAATTCAGTGATTGTGTTCGGTCAAAATCATGTTAAAGCATCAGTAAAAGATGAAGTGAAACTTTTAAAGCAACAAGGATTATTTTTTTTTTAGAACTATTACTTAGATGCTGTAAATTGGGCCTGCTACAGCTAAATATTGCAAAGGTCTGAACTGTGGTATTCTTATCAGATTAATACTTCCCATTGAGTTGAAATAACTTGTTCAGAATTCCTACGTGTCCATATTTTCCAAGTCATATAACAAACCCCTTTGGAAAGTAGAGATGGATCTGCTGACAGCTGTGGAGTTGACTCTTCACAGCTGCTAATTATAGCATAGCTGAGTTCTTCAACAGGGCATCACACAAAATATTTGTCTTATCTGGACGAGTCTGGTGATGTGGAGAAGAGTAATTATTTTCTCCCCTGCTTGTAATGGCATGCAGATACCAAGAAAAAAAGCAAACCTAGTGAGGGTAAATGTGTTCTAGCATTTTTGAAGATCTACCTAAAGAGCTGGGGTCCCTCAGATGATTTGCTGTCCTTCTTTTGTAGTTCTGAGGAAACCTTGCTCTTTCTTTCCCCTCAAAGAGCAGGGAAGCTGGATTGGCATTAAATGACAAGTTCTTCTGGTTTCAGAAGAGATTGGTTGAGCTGAGGAACTGCAGATTTTGTCTAAACATTCACTAACGCCATTACAGTGGGTTGTTAATTTAGTGGGATTTAAAAACTGCATGAATATGCAGTGCTTTTTTCTATGTTCCTTTCAAATCAAGGGTTTATTTCTTTGATTTTGGCTATGGCTATAAGACTTCTTCCCCTCAGGCTTCAGGACTTTGTTTTGATTTAGCGTCTGGAAGTATCTTGGCAATGCTGACTTTGGGATGAGTTGCTGTACCCCAGCAACTGTACTACAAGAAGGAAGTCACACAACCTCTCTGTGGCCATGTACTGAAGCTGGCCAACAGAAGGGTATCTTTAAGTCCAAACAGCCATTCATCTTAGGCTTCATGTGCAGGAATGTGCTCTTGCACAGTAAGATTTCATTTTGATGCTCTTATGCTGATATGCTGTTGGTTTCAGTGATGTTTTATCCAATACTCCTCTTTGCCTGTTACATGCAGAATTCAGTTCTGATAGACATGGAAAGACCCTAACCTGTAGGGGCTGACATACTTGACTAGAGAACAGACAGAGAGAAGGGAAAACTTTTGAGACATAGCTAATTATGTCTGCACCTCTTTTCCTACACTTGGAAGTCCTTGAAGAGGACATGAAGCCTTGAATGGACTGGCAGAAAATTGTGTAAATGGATTTGCCAGAAGGGTAGAAGGTTGTTTCATAGCTTGTGGCTTATGAAACCTATGGAAAACACTACAAAATTTCAAGTGTGTATAGCCACACTCTCTATACAACAAACCTGGGAACCCTCTACCCTGCTGTGTTGAGAATTCAGAGGAATGCCAATCTTAAGGATCGATTTTCAGCTACTGCCTCCTTTTGAGCCTCTGCTAGCATGAGGATGTGGGCATGATCCAAAAGCACTGGGGCTGGTATGTTCATGTGTTCCCTGTAGGCACATCCTGTGCTGCACCTACTGTAATCCTGAGCTCTGCACTGAAAAAGGCCTGCTTTTGTTACAGATGCACAGGTAAATCAGAACAGCCTCGTCTCTGAAAGACACAAGGACGTTTTTTTGTGAGGGAAGCCCCTAAAAAAAAATTAAATAAGCAATCTTCTCTAAAGTACCACCACAGAATGCATTAGCTAGCAAAGGCAGCAATGTCAGAAATAGTGACAGAAAATAGATAGCTTCTGAGAAAGTGAAATGTGTTTAAGTTCTTTTAAGAAATAAGGGATTTGCTTTCAGCTCTGTGGGAAATACAAGACTTGTTAAGCATCAGATATGAGCTGAAGCTACAGTAGAATCTGTTTGCATTTCTGTATTTGGACTTCAAAAAATATTCCAGAGAGTTTGTAACTAGGGATTTCTATCAACTTGTTGTTAATGTGTGACACCTATATATAAACACAGGATCAGAAATGGAAGTAAAAATTAATTTAGGTTCTGCAGATTGATAAGATACCATGCACCATCCAGGTTACAATATTTATTTCTGTATATTTTAAGTAGTAGCAGCAAAGGCAAGAGAAAAAAAAATTGGATAACCCTCTTTAATAGCAGACTACTTTAAATTGAATTAAACTTACAGTAGACTGGTGAATATATCCACAGAGTTACTGTGGCTCAGCCAATTTGCAGTAGCTTGAATTCCTTGCATCATCTGGCGTGTGTAACTTTTTTTGTTTTGGGTAACAGGAAGCTGTTGGCTGCGCAAATCTCAGATATCTCGATTTTCACAGACTAGTTGTATTTCTGGACTCCTCTCTAAAAAGAAAGAATGTGATATTCCTTCATGGAAATTCTGGTTTATAAAGATACAGCCGTAGAAGTAGCTAGTATAAGTAGCACTTATACTTTCAGCTTAAAAGGAACCAATTCTGCAAATCATGTTCTGTTAGTTCTTTTCCAAGACAGCTCATTGACATTTCTTGTTGTGTTTTTTCACACAAAAAATGCTACTCCAAATCTCAAGCCTGTACTGCACAAAAGCTGTGCATTGAGCTGGCACCTCTTGCTTTTGAAAGCATTTGTAATTTCCTTTTTGCACTGTAAGGAACACTGCTGATATGGAAAACACCAGCTTCTCCAAGTGTAGTTCTCACCACAGCATAATAACTATAACCCCATCATCAGATTTATCATGTTTCAATTTGACCAGATATGTCAGTAGTTTAGAGGGTTTTGCACTAATAAATTGCTTTAGGTTAATGTGAAGTACCTTCAAACCATTGGAGATTTTATTGTGGAAAATGTTTTGCAAAGCTGCATATCCTAAATGGCTGCACTCCAGAGTCTGGAATTCAAATCTCATTTACTATAAATGACTGAAAACCAGAGGATGTAGAAGTTTTTTTTAACATACTTAATAGAATATAGGGGAAAGGGGACTGATTTTTCAATTCCTATGTAATGCAAATGGGTTTATTCAAGAAATTAGCTGTAAATAAAGGAAATACTTGTCAGATACTAATTACGAAATGTGCATAATAATTGAAAGCAATACTGTGACACTTGACAAATTCTCAAGTAGTGGATATAGAGCTCATTTTGTTGCTTCTGTGTCATTTGGTGGTCCCTTTCAGGTGTGATAGCAGGAGGGCTCAGTGCTGATCTGAAACCTCAAGTTACAGAAGCCCAGTGGGAAGAGGGAAAGAATTAAATGGATGGTGAGTGCTTTTCAAAGCCCCACACATGGGCCCCTGATGGGAGTTAGTGGATGTGGGTGGGCTCTAACCTAGGAATCTAATATTCAGCTGGCAAATCAATGCTCATTATCCATGGTCCTCCCTACCCTAAGCCACCACCTGGGAATCAAGAAAGTGCCTAAAAAAAGAAATCTGGAGTCTAAATATGGGCTCTTGTTTTCAAAACTGTGTATTGACTTAGATAACATCTGTTTGAGTGGACTAATAAGCACTGGTTAGCTCTACATGCTTTCAGTATGCAATTAAAAAAATACAGTAGCTTCCATCCTAATTTTGGTAACTGACAGTTACAATTATGAGCATTGAGGGGAATAATATTTTGCAATAAAGAAGTTTTTTTTTATTGCTTTGAGGGGAGTTATTTATCCATCTGCTATATCCCGTAGCAATCATTACTTCCCCCATTCATACAAAGGAGCTCCTTCCAGTTTCCTCTAAAGAAAAAGTTTCTATTTTGAGGAGAGAGAAAGAAAGCAAAATAGAGCAGAGAACAAATGATGTCTCTAAATATTAACGAAGGACTTGTAGTACGTCTTGCCAAATGTGGACTAATCAGGCTCTTGATGGGCCACAGAGTTCCCATTGCCACAAGTACTAGACTAAGAAACTTGGATTCTATTTCTGTCTTTGCCATTGACTGGCTGGTGTAACCCTTGGCCAGACATTTAATTCCCTTGTGGTTTTGTTCTCCCTGTTACACATAGCCTGTTTTGTCTGTTTGGTTTGTAAGCTTGCCTGGGCAAGGATTGTCTCTGGTGATGTTTGTATAATGCCAAGCTGCCAGGCTTCAGTCTTGGCTGGGCCTTTGACGTGTTACCTGGGTATAAAATTATTGCCACATTAGTACATTTATCAGTTATCTCAGTTTATGTTGCACTGACAGTTTGCTTCTTTGACTCTTGGTAGTGTAGGTGAAATCAGAATGGGTCTCTGTGTATTCCCTCAGTGGGCATTGAGCTAAAGAAATAAAATAAGGATAAAAAAGAATTAGTTGGCGCCTTTTGTGCAATCCTGGCACCATTTGGGTTGTAAAAACTCTTTCTTTCTTTGGGCTGAATCAGCTTTGGGATGGAGATTGCCACACTTTGAATGGGAGCCACAGTCTCTGCAAGATAGCAAGTGACTTTGGCAGGTCGCATCCTTGGGTTAAACACCTCTTTTCAGAGCCATGGCACTTGCTGGCTTTGCAGGGATGTCATGGGCTGGGTGTGCTCAGACACTGAATTACCCTGGGTCTCACCCAGTTTTCCTCTGAGCACAAGAGGAATCCCACTCCCTTTGCATGGGAATGTAAAGGGGGTGGAGATAAACTAGATGTCACACTGTTAGATTGGCTACAGATAAGAGGTTTTTTAGATCAAAGACACTCATGGCAATTTTATGAATACAAGTAAAGTCAGAGGAATGTTCATAGAAAAACTCAATGTGTTCTAAATGGCTTTGTCAACATGCCCCTCAACTTTTCAAATGTTGCCCTATATGTGACTGCTTTCACAGGCCCTCTGAAAGCCCTGCTGGTACTCACTTGTACTGCTGCTGCTGTGCAGTGTGGCAACCAAGCATGAGACCATCCTTTTGGGCTGGGATCAGATGTTCTTTTCTGGCCTGAGACATGAACAGGCAGATCTCTTCACCCACTGTATTTTAAGGTGTGGCTTTGAGGGCTTTCAGAAAGGGGATGGGAATAAAACTTAACCCATAAACAGAAGCTCCCAAAACTTTGGCCTAGAGGAGAAGCTGGCACTGTTCATAAGCAGAAGATTCTGAGGTGTGACTTTAGAGATTGGAGCAATGTCCATGGCATACTTTTCAGCAAGGAGAGTGGTGAGCTGTGCTGGCTGTAGCAGAAGCAGTTTCACAATACTCATGGAATAGGAATAGCACCGGTGGGAACAGTGAGAAAAATTGCCTTTATTTTAAAGTAAGTCTTGCTTTGATAAATATATTCTTGAGCAGCTCAGACCTTACACATTAAATAAATAATCATAGTCAGTTTGGGATGTTCCAGCAAACAGGTACCATGCACTATTGATAAGAACAGTTGTAATCTGGGGAAGTAATGAATCATATATGAATCATGTCTGAGTAAGAGATTATTATGGTCATCTTCTGGGAATATGTAAAATCAGGAAATTTGAGGAATGCTTATTTGTTCCTATTGTTACAAATGGTGACTTTTGCTAAGTATGAGGCAATTCCTGTTGCTGAAGTGTGCATTCATACTTGAAGTTTTTCCACAGCAGCATGGAGAATTAAATCTCTTATGGATTATATTGATTTAAATTACATTAATTTCAGTAAAAAATATAGGCATTTACTTGTTCCATAAAGGTTTGAAACCCCTTGTAGCACCCCATGAAACCCAGCACCTATTCATGACACTTTCCCCTTTAACTCAGCAGTGTGTGACTGCTGAGGACATGAATCTGTGATCTCCTGTTTGCTATGATGATCTGTTTTGATTCTTCTTGAAGGTGTGTACAAAATGTTTCCTTTAGCTGGGATGGCCACAGTGTCCCATGTTTGAACAGCACCCAGAACACTTGTTTTGTGGCTGGGCCTCTGAGAAGCCTGTGCCATTCAAAAGAGAGGGTGCAGTAAAGAAAGAAATTGTTCTGTTGATGGATTTAGTGTGGCTTTCAGTGCAAACATACACTAAAATGAAATCTGGGCAGAAGGTTGGTTCTCTGGTCTTACTGTTAATTCCCAAACCTGTCAAAAAAACCTGCTTAGGGCTTGACCTTGTAAGGTGCTGAGCATGTTTGGGAACTCCAGCTGTTGCTCAACACTGAACACAGGTCCTTTTCTCTCAAAAGAAATGGTTGCACTTTGAACAGAGGCAGCTTGGAGCTCTCTGACATCACAAATATTTTGGAAGAGGCATAAATTACTGTTGGCTTTTGCAATGCTGCGCTCTTTGGAAACATTCCTCTTGAATAATATTAAATGCAATTCCAACTTATGTAATTTAGCTCATCCCTATCATCAGCATCAATTAAAAAAACATTTACAGATTCCAGACTCACCAGGACCTTTCCAAGAGCTGGCATACTCAGAGCCAAGGAACTTACAAACAATGACTATTGATCTCAACAAGTGTGTCAGCTCTTGCAGGATGTTTGTGTGTGCTGAACTGGCACCAGAGGTGAAGAGCTTCAGTTGCTGTCATTATATCTTTATTGGTGTCTATCAGAATCACTACCAAAGTTGCACTGGCAGATAAAATCATGCAGTGTCTGAGAGGTTACCCAGGTGTTATCTATTAATAGATATAAATTGTGTGGGAATTAACTTGTATTTTACCTTAAGAGTTGTGACAGTACTAGGAGTTTTAATTGTATTTTTTTGACCTTTATGTGCACCATGTTTTGTAGTGCTACTATATATACCCTTAGAAGAATTGCCTTGGTGTTAGTTGCATGTCAGAAGATTTGGGTATGAAGGGAAGCATAGCCATGATTTTACAAAGGTAACAAGGCCTATTTTATAGGGTTTTACCTATATGCAGCATAGTCCCTACTACAGTTTGAGCTCATTCAACTCCATCTTGTACTCTCACTAAATTTCTGTGATCCTGTGGCAGACTTCTGAGGCCATTTCTCAATCCTCATGCTATTCCAAAATATGTTCCACCTACCTTACAACAGTGGTATGAAATAAGATGCCTTTAGTTTCCCTCTCAGGATGGAGGATACACCTAAACTACAGCATAAAAAGACTGCCTTTTTCTTATCTACTCCTAATGCTTTTTTATTCACATAATTGAAAGCTGTTTGCCTTTGTACCAGTGACCAACTTAACAATATTAAATGTCCCAACTGCTTTCAGGCTGATAGCACATTTATCTTGTGCAGCAGAGCTGTCCCTTGGCCCTGTGTCTGTGCTGGCAGGTTCAAACTCTTTGCAAGTGGCAGCAGACCAGGTCTGGCCTTGGCCTGGCCTGTGCTCGTGTTTGCACCTGCATGCTGAGCACCTGCCTGGAGGGCTGTGCTCATTCCCCTCTGTCCTGTGTGTTCCTTAAGGACTCTTGTCACATCCTGGGTGACACAATCATGTCCACACTTCATGCAGCTTTCACTCAGGTTGCAGGACAAATGTCAAACTGAACTAGCATATAAAGAGTTATTGTGAGGTCCTTTTGTGCTTTCTCTCTAAGTTCTTTTCCTGGATCCAGGTCATCTACTCATCCCAACACACACTGAGCCTTGCTGCTCAGCTTTAGCTGAGAATGGCTCTTCTGGTTCCTTGTGTTTTTTGTTTATTTAGAGCTTTGTTTATTAGAGCTTGTTGTTGTTTCGTTTCTGTGCAGTATGCAATACTCAGATGGCTGCAATCCCAGTGCCTAATTAACAGCAAAATACCAAGAACATTGCAGTGCTTCTGAATCAACTATTTCTCTGCATTGTTCTGTCATGTGACTGGTTTCTCTTTGCAGACACCCATCGTTTGCAGGTGGAGGGTGAACATCACTTAGTTCTCTGAATTAAGGGCCTAAAGAGTTTAGGCGATAGTGGAAGACACTAGAGAGGTATGTAAATACCCTTAAGATGGAAACAAGGTAATTTTCTCATTTTCTGAAAGCTGCAACTTATATGAAGCTGTAGAATCTCTGTTCTCACAGGCAGAAGGCAACAAATAAGCTTTTTATACTGAGCACCATGTGCTGTATTCAGTGATGTTGTGCAGGGCTTTAAACTTCTTGCAAGAGATCTGTTGCACTGTGTAAAACTGCTTGACTATGTGTAAAAAAACTTCTCTGTACCTTTCTAGCCTTCTAGAGTCTAGCAAACATCTTCCTTAAGGAAACACCTTCCTTAAAGACAGAACTAGGAGAAGGAACAACTTCTACAAGTATGGAGAAGGAAAAGAAAGGTATGCAGCCTTTGTAATACCCATGCAATATGAATTCATCCTGCCTCAGAATGTAAAAAATTGCATGTGAGAGGAGAGCCAAGATACTT